TTTCATTTGGACTGCATATAACCTATTCAGTGCCAGTGATGAATAATTCGTTCTAAAATATGCACTATTGCAAGTACACGAACTATTGCTCTCAGTGCGTATACATCAAGAGCGATATACTCATGAGAATATATATGAAGTGCACCAAGTGCTTGTAATAAATGATATTTGATGGCTCCTTACTGAACATTCACAATCCATACTCCTTAAAATGTTATAGTCGGTAGTTATTAAAAAAAAAATCTGCAAATAAATAATTCTATATTTTTAAGCATATGTTGAAAAAGCAGCATTAGTGTATACGACTCAAAAAATACTGTCTTGAGTTAATGTACATGGCACTGGCAATAGTTCTCGAAAGCATATATCAACCGATAAAACCTAATAACTCTCATTGGCAAAAGTAATTTTCTGAGTTGCGGCATTTTACTTGTAAATATATATAAATATATATATATATATATATATATATATATATATATATATATATATATATATATATATATATACATATATATATATATATATATATTATATATATATATATATATATATATATATATATATATATATATATATATATATATAACTCTAAGCATTGAAATGTCTAGATGAGTTAAGCAAAACATACATATTTCCAAATTGTTTCCAACATTTCTTAAGCAACTGTCATAGCGGTAGCATTTGTATCACAAGACCTGTAAGTCTCAGTTACTCTACTATAAATTAGCCAAAAACAACATTGTACATTGCGTGAAACCTCCATAGACTCAGCAATCATTACATGACAACAGAATCATGGTGAATCTTTGGAATTTTGAAATGAGTAATAATATTATCAGGCCTTAATAATTATTTACTAAAAAATGTAATATCTGCATATCTCGAGCAGTGTAAATAATGTATAACACAGTTCTAATGTTTCTTGATGTATTACCCCCAAAACTAAATTTAGTTCAATATCGTGATAATCACTTTGTGTCTACGTTTGATAATTGTTTTCCAAGGCAGTGAAAGCATTAATCAAATATCACTAAAACCTTGAACCTAGAGATGCGTGCTTTTTTTTTTTTTTGGTGACGTATTCTTGTGTAGACTACGCATTATCTGTATGTAAACTTTAGAATGTATAATTATACAACAGTGTTCTGGTGTACAATCGTGTCTGTTTCAATGGCGTTATATGTGTAACTGTATCCTAGTAAGCATTTGCCAGCGACACAACCTTTTACGGGTTGCATTCATTCTTTCATTAGAGGTTTGCCGGTACTTCCGGCCCGGGTCTTCTCCATATGGTGACCCGGCTTTACGGGTTGCGAAAGCACTCCTTATGTCAAGAATTTTGAAATGCCTGAGACCTGCTGTGCTGTGGGTTGTTCCAAAAAGAAGGTGGGTAGAAACGAGTGTCTTTATATTTAATTACTGTTAAAAAAAAAGTCGGGCAAAAGAGGAAGCGGCGATTACAAGACAAAACTGATTATTCACAGCCTATACTCACTTATGTAACCAATATTTCGCCCCAGGTAAATAGTTGGCAATTATTCATATTTATCATACTCAAGGACGGTGTTTTGATGCCCATGAGAGGCTCATGATCCAAGGAACTAGACCTAACCTCTCCTTCCTAAGATAAATGCTCATTACCCCCCTTTCCCAAGGCTTCATATGAATTCTACGTGTTTAGCGCTTTCCAATAATAATAATAATAATAATAATAATAATAATATATTTCAAGCAGATTGGTATTTTTGCTTCATCTACGATTTTCATGGTGTTGACATTTCTGTACATTGTTTTTATGTAGTTTAATTAGATCCAGCAAATATTTGAATTTTTAATAAACAACTAACTTCTTTATTTCATTAATATAAACACAAATTATATTCATAAATTTCGTTTTTAAATTTACTGGGGAAGAATAAACCTGTTGGAGTCACAGCGCCTGTGTAATGCTAGGCAATATGGTATGATCCAAGGAAGGGGAAGGCAAGTGCGATTCCTTGGATCAAGAGCCCCTCATCATCATCAAGGAACCTTCCTTGGGAGAAGTCATAACATTAAGATAATCGAAATAATACACATACAGTAATTAATACTAAGATATGAAAATGTCACTTACCCGGACAGTGATGACTTAAATCTTCTGGCCCAGTAAGTGCCATACCATGGCATCCTTCACTCAGCCAGCTGCTGTAAGTGCCATACCATGGCATCCTTCACTCAGCCAGCTGCTGTAAGTGCCATACCGTGCCATTAATCACTCAACCAGGTGCTGTAAGTGCCATACCATGGCATCATTCACTCAGCCAGCTGCTGTAGGTGCCATATCATGGCAACCTTCACTCAACCAGCTGCTGTAAGTGCCATACCATGACATCCTTCACTCAACCAGCTGCTGTAGGTGCCATACCATGGCATCCTTCACTCTGCCAGCTGCTGTAAATGCCATACCATAGCATACTTCACTCAACCAGCTGCTGTAGGTGCCATACCATGGCATCCTTCACTCAACCAGCTGCTGTAAGTGCCATACCATGGCATCCTTCACTCAACCAGCTGTTGTAAGTGCCATACCATGGCATCCTTCACTCAACCAGTTGCTGTAAGTGCCATACCATGGCATCCTTCACTCAACCAGCTGCTATAGATGCCATACCATGGTATCATTCACTCAGCCAGCTGACGTAAGTGCCATACCATGGCATCATTAACTCAGCCAGTTGCTGTAAGTGCCTTACCATGGCATCCTTCACTCAACCAGCTGCTGTAAGTGCCATACCATGGCATCCTTCACTCAACCAGCTGCTATAGGTGCCATACCATGGAATCATTCACTCAGCCAGCTGACGTAAGTGCCATACCATGGCATCCTTCACTCAACCAGCTGCTGTGCCATACTATGGCATCATTCACTCAGCCAGCTGCTGAAAGTGCCATACCATGGCATCCTTCACTCAACCAGCTGCTGTAAGTGCCATACCATGGCATTCACTCAGCCAGCTGCTGAAAGTGCCATACCATGGCATCCTTCACTCAACCAGCTGCTGTAAGTGCCATACCATGGCATCATTCACTCGGCCAGCTGCTGTAAGTGCCATACCATGGCATCCTTCACTCAACCAGCTGCTGTAGGTGCCATACCATGGCATCCTTCACTCAGCCAGCTGATGTAAGTGCCCATACCATGGCATCATTCGCCCAGCCAGCTGGGAAACTGTCTGTCGTGTGTATGATGGCAGGTTTTCCACCAGGTTGACATACATGTCGCCAAACTCTAGGTCGGGAAGTTTATCTGTCGTGTCAAGAATGTCAACAACACTGGCTGGAGGTCCTGTGTAAAGATCACATGCACTTAAATTGTCATATTTTACTCAGATCTGACCAACTGTCCTTCAGTCTGATGCCTTGTGTGATCAGTGACCACAATGTGACTTAGGGGCATGTTTGTCTCACAGTTAACAGATATACTACACACAATGGCTAGGGAATGTGAATATCGTGTGACACTAACAACGTGGTCGACACAACTGATCCAGTCACGTGACTCGCCAGGGAAAAGAGGGCAACCTATCCTCGCAATTTGTAAGGATTTTACAGCAAATTTCTCGACTTGCGTGATTTAGGTTAGGTTCGGTTAAATTAAATTGTCCTCTATTAATAAAAAAGTAACAGTTATGCCATACCACAGCGCCAATAAGTGAAATATAAAATAAAGGCGACAAAAAATTCTGAACACCGAATGGAATAGGGAGGCCCACAGTGCGCACCAGAGTGAACTTTAGGAGACAATCACTGTTCATGGCTGTTAAATATTCACCCATTAGATTGTTTTTGTAGAGATGAAATACGTCTGTTACTAAGAGGACTAGCTGAGAGGGACTTGTTTCAGGCTTGGTCTTCTAGGATTGACCAATGCAAATAAATCACAGCGGTGGCCATGGTGTCCAGAATAAATGGGTCCCGAAAGACTCATTATTTAAGGGTGAAGACAACGCCAAGATAGAACAGTCAGGAAAGAAGCAGCCAGTTAGTCAGGATATAGTCGGTCAACTAGTCAATCAGTCAGCGAAGAAGGATCTCAGAAGTAGAAGTAATTGCAGTAGGAAATGTGATTACTTGCGAAGGTGAGTTGGACTGATATAGCGTGAGAGTGGCACTGACTGACGGAGATAATGACTAAAGAATATGACACCGTTGTACTGAAGTGTGGCGACAGTGACATCAAGTAACAGTACTTTGGGAGGTGAACGGAAAAATATGCAGTATACTGGAGGGTTAGTGTACAGTTTAACAGTGTTAAGCCTAGTGTGATACTAAGTAGTGCTTTGGAATTAAATTATCGTTGTGCCTTGTAAATTGTGTTATTAGTTATCTCGCATATAAACACAAGTACCACTCATGTTAAACAGTAATAAGGAACAAAATGTTATTTTTTGAAAGATATATTAGTATTATTAGTGAACAAATTTCATTATTTACTCATTTCAACATTTGCACTTCCAAAGTGTCCTCTGCAATGGTTTGTTAGTTTCTGTTTAGCTCACTATATATCCCCTCAAGGAAGGTTCCTTGACGCTGGTGAGGGGCTTTTGATCTAGGGAATTGGATCTGTGCTTCAGTTCCCTGAATTGAGTCTGAATACCTTCCATCTCCCCCCCACAGGCGCTGTATAATCCTCATTGTAATATATATATATATATATATATATATATATATATATATATATATATATATATATATATATATAATATATATATATATAATATATATATATATATATATATATATATATATATATATACATATATATATATATATACAATATATATATATTATATATATATATATATATATATATATATAATATATATATATATATATATATATATATTTATATATATATATATATATATATATATATATATATATATATATATATATATATATATATATATATATATATATATATATATATATATATATGATTTTAGAATGCAGTACAATAATATTTTTATTTAATTTTATAATTCATTTTAGTAAGTGGTAAAATCACTACCCACGAAACCATTGTTTCATTCATTCTCCCATGACAACTTTTTGATTCTCGTCTGTTCTGGCTTTTATTCAGTATGAAAATCACACATTTTCTCTCCGTATCCATTGTGAAATTATCAAAAGAGGGCCAACTCTGTATAAAGGAAAAGGACAAATATTTCTGCCCTTGTTCAAAAACATTAAAAGCTATTTTGATAGTCATCTACACATTTTTATAAGTATTGCGTATGAGCGTTTGACAGGCTGGCTTCCCCTTTGCTACTAGAGGCTTCCCACGAATTCCCGAATCGGGCAAGAGGACAAACAATGTCTTGAATGACCTTAAGTCTTCTTTTAGTCTTCGGAAGTAGTTTTTTGTTGTTTCTCTCTCGGACACAAACACTCGGACGTATCTTGTAAAGTGAATTCCTTCATGCTTGAGAAAGTGCTAGATGCTTTCCTCGAACACACATATATACACACACACGCACACACTTAAGTGCACCGAGAGGTTTCCAGCCTCCTCTTTAATGCCCGGGGGAATAGTGGGTGCTTCCTCTTGGCTTTGGTTTGCCTAGGGCTGCGGCGGGGCCTCTTCTTCCTCCCTGAAAAGGTAGGTGCTCCAGTAGACGACATTGAAGAGAGCGAAGACGAGCGGGAAGGTGATCCTGGAGATGACATCGATCCTTTTGCTCCTGCTGGGAAACTTGGAGAGCCAGGAGCCGCAGCATCGTCGCGGAGGCTGGGGATGCATGTGGATCTCACACTGCCGCGCCTTGTCCAGGGAGAGACCGTCCCCATGTGGCCGCATCAGAGGCTTCTGTTAACACCACCAACTAAGCTAAGCAACATCACACTATGCGCTCTCTAGGCTACCAGGGGGGCGGGAGGAGAGATGGGGTAAAAAAAGAAAAGCACTAACCGGGAAGCTAACTAGACGTGCTGGCGACTGATAAAAATATTCATTGTTCTTTACTAGGCTACGGTAGGTACAGAATAGTTTCCTAGGTTGCTGGGGCACTAAACTACTAATAGAAAGATATTAACTATGATTTACTGAACTACTGGCTAATGTGTTGCATAGTTAATTGATAGGTTTACTATGATTTACTGAACTACAATAGTACTTTAATTTAGTAAATTACGGTGGAAAGGAGAAAATTAAGATAGATACTGAGACTACACACTGATCTATGACATGATCTATTATTCCAGAGTATAATAAACTTAGCTACTGGAGATGACTGACTACTGATTAATAAAAGCTACACTATGTTTTAGGAGGTTCCTGGAGCTCTAGTCTAGGGTTTACTGCTACTCATTACTCAGTACAAGACGAAGATTTAAGCTACAAAACTCTGAGATAATTAAAAAAATATAAATTCTGTCTTTACAAAGCTATGAACTATGGAACACTAGGCTTTTTGGCTAAAGGCTATAAACTACTCTTATTAACTAATTTGTGTTTTATAATTCTACATGTACGAAACTGTAGGTAACTTGAAAAGTAATAGGTTACAAATATATGTAATTAATAGTCTACTATACAATATCAAAATAATATACTATTCCTAAAGTATTTCTTCCCTGCAACGGACTACAAGCTTTTAAGTTCTACTTTAAAAATATCCAGGACTTCACTGAGGGCTATAAATATCGTGCCAAAATATAAACACAGCCATGACATCATATTAATTTGCATAATTAAAAAAATGATTGGAATTACAAAAGCAGTCATGCCAAATTCAGTTAAATAGGATTTCAAAAAGATGCTTGAGCAATGATTCTGATTCAAATTTCGACAGGAATAACATTAAAATATATCTTGAGTGGTGCTCTTTGGCAAAAAACCGGAGATGAGTAAACAATAAAAAAATGGGGGAGGAGAAGAGACGGGAGGTAAAGGAACAAAGAGAACATAATCGTAGTATATTAGGACAACGAAAATTTTGACAGGAATATTTCGCAAGGATAATTAGGGCATGGGGAATTTGGATATAGGTAGCGTTAAGACATGGAAACATTGACCAGATGTAGAATCAGTGTATGGAGATAATCGAGTTTCAGTTTGAACAAGAAAACAGGAAAGGAAAGCGCAAATGGAAATGGTGCTAAATTCACATTGGCCACAGGAAAGTGGGATGCCTTAGGACAAGTGGGGGGGATGATGCACCAGGAACACAATGAAACGAGACAAAATACACAAACACAGGGCATAAAACTCAGTAAGCTTCCTCTACCACAAGCCAGAACCAACTAAAGCTGACACATAACATGAATATAACAAGCTTAGCATCCTCGCTCGTACAAACTACAACTTATGATCATATATTCAAGAATAATTTATTTTCTAAAACCGAAAATTAGATTAAGTTCAACAGAGAATGCAAATCTTTATATCTAAGAACTTCCATTAAAATTCTCTCTTAAATTAGCACACTTTGCTATCTATTCATATCTATTTTATATGAATATTAACCCACTTAACAACTATATATGAATCATTTCCATCATGTAGTGAATTTTTTACTCTCAACGGGAGTCAGATTTCCATTAAATAGGATAAATGCTCATAATTCTTACTTCCCGCCTCCATGTATCGGCTAACTCTCTTATTATTTAAACTTTTAGGATATGTTCTCTTTACAGGAGAAACAAACCAGTTTTCCCCAGGTTTTACAATGTACATTTACCTAGGAGCTCACATAACCTATTTCTTCTGTCTAATTTAAAAACCCCAACTATTGTTTTTCATTTTAAATATCAAGTATAGTAGTTATTTGCACTAACATATTCTCTTCTCCACAAATCTCTTTATCGTCTCCATAAGAACATAAAAACCCGTATCCTTTTCCCCATAACAATCCGTATCCTCCACCCTATATGAATTTCACTCCTCTTTTTCACAAAATCCCTGTCCTCTTCCCTATAAGAATCCCTACCATCCACCTGCATACAATGCTAACTCAACTCTCCTGCCCTCCCTCACCCTTCAGAGAACCGTGCCTCACCATGGCGAAGGTAGTTGGACCGTCTGAGTCTAGGTGCTCAGCTTCGAGGGCGGCCTGGTGCTCCAGTTCCCACTGTCTACGCTGCTTCTTGATCTGTTCGCGGTGGATGTCTGATCTGGAGGCGTAGTTGACCAGCGCAAACTCCAGCAATGCCCCGAAGACGAAGGTGAGGCACACCCCGGTCCACACGTCGATGGCCTGCAAGGTTGGTCGAGGTAACTCTTCCGTGGGTCTGGCTCGTACTATGTAATCACCAGCTTGTGGTTGTAAGGGTCGAGTCTCATCTCAGACCAGATTCTCAGTTTCTTCCTAGCAATAACATTTAAAATATTTTTGGCCAGATGGCCTCTACCATACTGACTCTAAGAACCTTGTTTTTAATGTTTCTACTACTAACCACCCTCACACTATTGGGAAATATTTCACTGTTACTCGTTCCTGCTTTGGAACACGTTGACAGAAAAAAAAGGTAAATTCACTAAATGAAATATTTTGTTCATATATAACCTTATTGGCTACAAACGTTAGTTTCCAAGTAATGATCTCATGAGGAAAAGGAAGAGGAAGAACCTGCGAGCGTAGAAAGAGGATTACCTTGGTGTAGGACACTGGGGGGAGGGACTGGTTGATGCCTGACGTCTGGGTAGCCATGGTGAGGAGGGTAGTGACGCCCAGGGAGACTCGGGCAGGTACAGCATTCTGGTCGAGCCAGAAAGACACCCAAGAGACGATGACTAGCATGCAGCAGGGGATGTAGATGGTCAGCAGGTAGTAAGAAAACTCCCGCTTAAACAGCAAGTCCACCTTCAGGCAGGAATAGGCTCCTGAGAGGCATCAAGAGAAAAGAATGTGTTAAACGACGGGATATGTTGTTGGATAATAATAATAATAATAATCATAATAATAATTCGATTTATTTCGTTCTACATGAATGGCATAGTAAATTGTCAACCAGTTTTTTGTGTCAAATTTTATCTAGTTGATAATATGGTGTTTTTCTTATGGCGACCTAATCACTGTAGAGAGTGTACAGAGATCCTTTACTGCACGTATAAGTTGTCAAGCACCTTAACTACTGGGAACGCTTGGAAGCACTTGACTTGTACTCGTTGGAACGCAGGAGGGAGAGATATATCATAATCTACACTTGGAAAATCTTGGAAGGAATGGTCCCAAATCTGCACACAGAAATCACTCCCTACGAAAGTAAAAGACTGGGCAGGCGATGCAAAATGCCCCAATAAAAAGTAGGGGCGCCATTGGTACACTAAGGGAAAACTCCATAAGTGTCCGGGGCCCAAAACTGTTCAACAGCCTCCCATCAAGCATTAGGGGAATTGCCAATAAACCCCTGGCTGCCTTCAAGAGAGAGCTGGACAGATACCTAAAGTCAGTGCCGGATCAGCCGGGCTGTGGCTCGTACGTTGGACTGCGTGCGGCCAGCAGTAACAGCCTAGTTGATCAGGCCCTGATCCATCGGGAGGCCTGGTCATGGACCGGGCCGCGGGGGCGTTGATCCCCGGAATAACCTCCAGGTAACCTCCAGGTATGTACATACTTAAAACTAACTGACCTTAGGACCTTGAGAAGTAGAACATTAGAACTGCTTTCATATATATTTTCTTTAAAATCCGATTTAAATTAATTGTTGTATATATTGCACCTTATATATAAAAAATATTTCAAAAAACTTTTGTAGCTCTCGTTTCAGCTCCATTATAGGAACATTTTTTAGGTCTGTGATATATTTAGAGCATATTTATGTGAAGCGCTCAACCCGTATGGGTCACTCAGTACTAGGAGTGGTGGAGGCTCGATCTTTCGTCCGCTAAGCCTAGTCAGGCATATAAACATAAATAATTCACGAAAACTGGAGACTCACATGGGAACGAACCTTAATTGCATTACACAGATCAACATTTCATTTTGTTAATAATGCGAGTTGTTGCTCACCTGTGTTGGTCTTGCTGTTGCAGTATTCCGTGAGGAATTTCTCCAGTGTGAAGCGTGGCAGGTGCAGGTTCTGTGTAATCTGCACGGGGTCACCCTCACGCCACAGGAACACCAGGTCCTCCGTCGTCCACCCGTCTGTAGGAGGGAAGATGCTGTTGCTCACGGGTCATACAGGTAGTGGTTGTGGTGATGGGAGTATAGTAGTGACTGGTGGTGATGAGAGGGTCGTTGGTGAGAATGACAGTAATGACAGGAGTGAGGATGGCGAGGGTAATGGTGGTGGTGGTTATGGGAGTGATGATGGGAGTGGTAATAGTAGGGGCAATGATGGTGGTGATAGGAGTGATGATGGTAGTGGTGGTGGCGATGGAAGTGATAACGGTGGGGACAAGAGTGATGGTAGTAGTGATGGCAGTGACGATGGGGTGTGCTGTTGAAACAACAGTTATGGTGGTAACAATGGTGGTTGTGATGATAATGGGGGGTAATGGTGGCTTTGGGGATGTGGTTTGTAACAATTTTAATTCATATAGTATTGCTATATATATCGCTATTTACTAATGTACCTGTGGAAAATTTTTAATTTTCCGAAACTATAGTGCCTAATAGGTGTTTAATGTGTCGATATGAGTCAAAAATATATTTGACAATAGGATAGAACCAAGAGTTCCCTTTGCGCATGCGCGGATGTGCGGGGGGAGAGGTCGACTCGGGCCATGGGGGAGGCGGGAGTGTTTTGAATACAGTGAGGAGGCTGGGAAAGCATGGAACCAGGAAATTGGCGTTCACGGCGGCCTAAGGATTAATATAGGCCTCATTTCATAATAGGAAGTGTCGTAACTGTTCCTGGTGGAGAGTGAGGGAACGTGATTTACGGGACCACAGTAATAAAGTGGTAAAATGAGTGAATAAGGGTAGGACCGGGTGACTGGCGCGTCACCATGGACTGTGTCCCGGGGAAAATTACCCTTGGTTTAATCATCACTCATCGGTCTCAGATCTTAATGGAGTGATCTCTAATGTGTATAATAATTATGAGACATTAAATCGTCTTGTGAATTGTAATGTAATTAATGATAATAAGACTAAATTAAGAGAATGCGTGAAGTGAAATAAGTCGCCTTGCTCCGAGTGAACACGTTAGACCTCGTTCCCGGGACGAGGATAATGAAGTTCATTGAGTCACGACTTCTAAACCGGGACAAACCAACGGATACCTCGTCCTGCTGGAATGAGAACCGTGTCGGTGTAGCAGGACATCGAAATGAGATGGTGAATGGAGGAAATAAGGAGTATCAATCACCCACAGTTAAGTAACCCTTCTAGTTATAGCAGACTGATACTGGCCAGTTAGGTATGTTGTAATTGGATAGGTTATGAGTGATCCAGCTACATCAAGTGACCACCAGAGAATATCTGGTAAGTGGAGAGATTATGTACAAGTGTTTTTCCTTGATGGATATATCCATGTGTAACCTACCCCCCCCCCTTCATTCAGTTACACTAATATAATGTATACAGTCCACAATTAATTAGTAGCACCGTACTTGTGGGTGCTATCCAATCCATACTGGTCTCGGATAGATATGGATAAGATTGTGAGGTCGAAGGGACCACCTGCCGTGACCAGGGGTGGTTAAGTTTTCTCACATGTCTACACGGGGTGACTACGGTAAACAATATGGTTGTCTCCCAATGAGATTACTTGTATGTATATAATGTTGAGGTACATACAGGTAATCACCCCTAGAAAATTTTCCATAGTACCTCTCACTTGAATTCATCCCGTAAAATTATATATTTATTACTTTCCAAGTAATCTACTACAACTTCCCTTCATCTATGTAATCTGTGTTTGCTTCTGTTCGTCATCTTGCCCAGTTCATCATCTCTCTTTATCATGCTAACGCCTTTGCTAGTATTTTGTTCTTTTCTATCATTTTAAAATCTCTTATGTCCTTTCCAAAGCTGTTAAAACTGAGTTTAAACTGAATAAGTTGATATTGTCTATGAAAATATAACATAATACTTGTTTCAAAAGCACAGTGAACAGTTTATGGGCAACTGGTTCAATATGGGCTTATTTTAGCAAAATCATAAACTCCTGAAGATTTTTCTAAATATCTTTACCTGGAGAGTGTTTCTGGGGTCAGCGCCTCCGCGGCCCGGTTTGTGACCAGGCCTCGGAAATAAGTCGCTTTGTCTGACTTTTTTTGGGGGGGTTGTCCTAGGTAATTTACACGTTACTATATATGATAATTTGTGTAACTGTATTTATGTGTACCTTTACCTAAATAAACTGTATCTAAATAAACATTTTATCCATATAACTAGTTTCCCCTAACAAAACAAGACGGCGTTGAAGCCTCTTTCATATTCATATAAAAGAAAAAAATAGTGATAGCATATGCAACGTTTTATAAATTAATTAATTATGTAAGTTAATCAAATCACAGAATTACTGTTTTACGATTTCGCTAGTCAGATATAAACGAGTTAATCGTGAAATACAAAGAAAACGAATTTATGACGAACGTAAGACAGAGAACGGAAAACAAATCATGGGAAACTAGTATATCTTTATGCTGGTATGTGGCACTGTCTCAGCCTCATAAGATTTTGTTCGGATTTTTAACTCCGGAAGGTTAGCCACCCAGGATAACCCAAGAAAGGCAGTGCGTCATCGAGGGACTTTCTGTATTAATTTCCATTGGGGGTCCTCAGTCTTGTCCCCCAGGATGCAGCCCACACCAGTCGACTAGCGCCCAGGTACCTACTTGCTAGATGAACAGGACAACAGGTGTAAGGAAACGCGCCCAATGTTTCCACCCCTGCCGGGAGTCGAATCCGAACCCTCAGCTTGTGATGCGAGAGCTTTGTCAGTCAGGCCACGAGGTCCCGTGGCATGACTGGCCACGGCTATATTGGCCTGCTTGCCGTTAACAGAAACAGCCTGGTTGATCACAAAGTCAACAAGAAAGTCTGACCCTAGATTGGAATGCGAGGGTAGAAATATCGTGGTGGTGGTGGGGGAGGGGGAAGGCGGTCGTGGTGGTGGTTGTGGTTGTGGTGGTGGTGGTGGTTGTGGTTGTGGTGGTGGTTGTGGTGGTGGTGATGGTGGTGGTGATTGTGGTGGTGATGGCTGTGGTGGTAGTGGTAGTGGTGGTAGTGGTGGTGGTGGTTGTGGTGGTAGTGGTGGCGATGGTAGTGGTGGTGGTTGTGGTGGTAGTGGTAGTGGTGGTGACAGTGGTGGCTGTGGTGGTAGTGGTGATGGTGGTGGTTGTGGTGGTAGTGGTGGTGGTGGTTGTGGTGGTAGTGGTGGTGGTGGTTGTGGTGGTAGTGGTGATGATGGTGGCGGTGATGGTGGTGGTGGTGGTTGTGGTGGTGATGGTGACGGTGATGGTGGTGGTGGTGGTTGTGGTGGTGATGGTGGCGGTGATAATAAATGTTGCAGTCATGGTTCGTAAGTGGCTGTGTTACAACATAAGTCTTCAAAACCTCATGATAACTCTCAAAGGGAAATCCTTCACTGTACAGTAGTTGCATTTATCTGCTGCCATTACTCATAGTTACACTAATAATATAGATTTTTAAAGAGGTGGAGGGGTAAGCCAGTGGAAGGCCTCGGGCAGCTGACCAAAAGCTGACCCGCGTCAGGAAGCAGTTGTCCTGTTTCCTGACTAATCTTACCTTACCTAACCATAGTTACATGTGAGCTAACTCACCTTCTATAATTATTACCTTATACATTACTCGTTTTAATAATTTCTATTACCTTTATTTTTACATTATATAGCATTAGTATTTTTTATGTGTTTTGAATCTATTATTTTAAAATGGCGAGGGGACTTTTTTTATGATTTGGCGAACTTAGATACATCAGCAGTAGTTGTTATCCTGGTCTATATTATATAGTGGAAAGAGGAGGAAAGTTGGGGGGATGGGGGTAGGTGGTGGGTGGGGAGGATGGGAGTGAGGGGAAATGGGAGGGGGCGGAGCTTGTTGCCATGGTGACCGCCCTCAGGCCTGCCCAGTGTTGCCAGTCAATGTGCATCATAATAATCCAAGGATCACTCCCTGCGGCTGCTCTCTATACAATTAATTCTTGAGGCGTAACAGTTCCATTTATCAGATTTTGAAAACCACATATTCGCTAGTTGTGGAGGAAATCTTTTTATATTTTACTAATAACGCTGCTTCAGAATTATTATATGTATTGTATAGTACATAAAATCAAAATAAACTGAGAGAATATAAAGGAAAAATGTTGAGATTTCCTCACTGAAGCTGATTGAGTATTTTCTTCCATTACTACACAGTATTTCCTGGCAGAGATGTTATTCCCACTGATACATTAGAAAAAGAGAATATTTGTGACGGCCTAATACCTGTATTTTGAAAGTTTTATGTAGCTTTCTTAAGTTAAGAAATTCTTCTCTGGATACCCACAATGAGGAAAGAGAGAGAGAGAGAGAAAAAAAAAAAATAATTTAACAACTTTATTACACCCCCCATACCCATCCTGTGGGGGTAGTCAAAAGATTACAGAGGTACATAATGGATCCAGGGACTGGACCGCCGCAAAGTTTTGATAGCTAAGAAAGTTACAATGGTAATGAATTATTTACATGTTTATATCTGGTCACAGTCGTAATGAGTTATTTATGCAAACATGAATTAAAGTCACACACACGCAAAAAATGTGGTTGTTCTGCCGTCCTTGGTAAGTCAGTTTATCTAGGCACAGGTACACATAAGTACAATTATCATACATAGTGTAAATTACTTAGGATAATTCAAAAAACGTCAGACAAAATAACTTATTTCCATTGGGGTCGTGCCAAATTTAGTGAACACTTGTCTCGTGATCCGAGGACCTCTTGATTTTGTAACTTGTCACGAGGCTTTTGTAACTGAGGGCTTTGTGCATCTTCTCAAAACTAAGGGACCCCCGCCTCCTTCAGCTCTTCTATACCGAAGGTTAGTGTCGGCCATTGTAGACACATGTGTAATCTTAAACTATCCTCTTATCGTCTGTCTATGGTAACGTGATGACTCTCTGGACACTTCTGGGTGCTATCAGGTCTGTCTGGCTGGGAGTACACTTGGTAATGGACAACGTTCTGTGGTGAGGC